AATTAGAGACAGCAGTAGGCACGGTAGGCACGGTAGGCCACCGTACCCCAACCCCTCTCTGTAGAAGTTGTAACTGGCTAGGCATGTAGGCAGCTGCTATGCCAGCAACTCCAAGTACAAGCTAAGAGCATGTGCTGCCTGCAAGTACATGAAATACTGCTCCAAAGAGTGCCAGCGCGCCAACTGGAAAGCCCACAAGCATGATTGCCAGCTTTGGATGGGATACCTTACGGCAGTGAGAAACGATGAGCAGGGCGCGGTTGTAAACGGGCGGGAGTCCACGCAGACGTCCACGCAGACGTCCACGAGGCGCGAAGACCAGACATTCGCTTCAGGCACGACAAGATCCGAAATTGACCTCAACGACCCCGCCATCATCTTCAAATTCATGGAATCACACCACGACCCTCTCCTCAAAGCAGAGTTCAACGCTCTTCCTAACGACGAACTGATCCCGTTCTTGGACATTGTAATGGACCGCATGAACCCGAACCATCCCGCTAGTTTCTTCGAGGAAGACAATCTCACGAACCCTACCTTCCGGGCGTCATATCTCCAGATGTGCGCAAACGATTCGGGCAAGCAGATTACCGACACTGTGCCTCCAGCATACTGGAAAGAGGATGGTGGAGCCCATTACTTAGAAGACATGGAAGGCGGACTAATGCTACGACGTTCACCTGCGGCTTGCGCGAATGCCCCGGAGTATGATAGCGGTAAGTGATATATACACATACAACCGTCCGAAACTTTGGCTCAAGTGCTGATATGTTTGCAGAAGAGATATCCGAGGGCTGGATGCCAACCGTCTACAGACCAACAACAGGAACAGGACTCCCACGGGCTGCCAGCTGTCTCATCTGCCATTTGACGACCAACCTGAAGAAATGCGCGGGTTGCGGTGTAGCGAGTTACTGCTCAAGGGCATGTCAGGCTCAAGACTGGGTCAAAATGCGCAAGCACTACTGCCAACAGATAAAGACTTGGGGTAAAGGAGCCTGGGAAACCCACTTCATACCTAGAGATGATGCTGGCATTGGCGCTACTAGCGGCGCGAGTCGAACCGGGGAGACGGCTGAGAGCTTTGAACAAGACCCTGACCCGGAAGACGGCGAGGAGAAAGCGAAGGTATTCGTCGAAGGGATTAACATGGCGGAAAACTATGGCATGCCCCATGTGCCAAAGATCGACTTCAACGAACCGTCGACTGTATTCCTCTGGGCTAAAGCACTCAAAGACCAATCCATCATGGCGCAGTTCACTGCACAAGACCTGGACGAGTTCAAAGCTTTCAAAGAGAGGGTTTCCTAGACCTTCCGCCTAGAACATCTCGCTGACTTAGGTAGCGAGAATCAGGGAGTGGAGAAGGAGTCCGACACTTGAGAGCTGGGTTGGGACATGTGGCACTAGAAGGTGACGGTCTATGCTAAAGCGGCATTCTGAAACACTGCGTGGTACCGTAAGGGAGGTTCAGCCTTTGGGAGAGGAGAGAAGGACTACCAACGAGCAAGGACAACAATCAGTGTCGAAGTATATCTCATGTCAATAGTGCTTGTAGGTCTATCGTTGCACAGAACAGCACCGCTCCTCCGAACGTTCTTTGAGTCCCTGCTTCGCAAAGTGATGAAACGTGGCGCCTATATCATCTAATGACTACAGAAAGTGATGTTCTTTGGCTTCTTCCCGTGATATGTGAGCGAAAGCTAATACAGCCTCGTTATCGAATCAAGTACACTATTCTGCCACTGATTGTGGTGCTCCAACATGTTTGTAGAAATCTAGGGCGATAAATAGCACAGCTACCTCAGTGTCTACTTCCATTAGCCACTGCCTGAAGTGGTCCGGCGAGCTCATTGATTGTCCCAACCAAAAACGTTCGGAATTTCCAAAATTGGTCGAGGAGTTTCAAGCAGCGGCAGACAAATGCACACAGATCCGTGACGAGTTATTGTAGTTCAGGTGAGTGTAAGCCGCGTCCTAGGTCGAGCTAGAAAATCCTCCCACCTCTCTCAAACCCTCTCACGCGCAGTCCACTAACTTCTCCCACATAACCTGAACCACATACAGCCTCAATCATGCCTCCCACCACCAAACCCGATCTCACCGACCCCCTCACCGCCCTCAGATTCATGCGCATGGCCGAGGATCCTGACATCGAAGAAGAGTTCTCCTCCCTCTCCATCGCCGAGCTCGAAGCCTATGCAGACCTCATAGTCGCGCGGCTCGACCCCAACAACCCGGCCTCCTCGTTCTGGAAACAAAACGCCACAAACCCCGAGTTCCGCGCAGCGGAGCTACAGAACTTCGCCGATAGAGACGGCAAGGTGATTGTGGACACGGTGCCGCCGGCGTACTGGGGCGAGTACGACGGGCAACACTTCATGCAAGATACGCCGGGTGGGAAGTCCAAGATTGTGAGGCGGAAGCGCTATGTTGAGACGAAGCGGGATGGTGAGTAACACTGAGACTGCTCGAGCGTCAGGTCTGATTTGGATACTAATAATTTTGTATATAGACGCAGTTGTGCCAGAGGGCTGGAAGCCAACAGTCTACCACCTGAAAGGCAGCGGTGTCCCGGATCAGTGCGAGAAGTGCGGGACTACGGGAGAGCTGTGGGTTTGTACCGGGTGCAACGTCTACAAGTACTGTTCGAGGATGTGTCAGCGGCAAGATTGGCCAGATCATAGGGAGCCATGCCATACGGTCAGGAAGGCGGTTGAGGGATGGAATGCGAAGGAGCAGGAAGAGGATGCTAAGCTAAAGGTCAAGGAAGGGGAGGTCAAGAAAGGGGAAGAGCCTGAGGTTGCTAAGACAAGAGCGGAGAGGCGGGCCGAGAGGAAGGCTGGAAAGAAGGCTGAGAAGAAGGCTGCCAAGATGGATAGGAGCATTCAGAAGAGCAACGGTCTAGAGGATACCACGCAGAGGCTGAAGGTATCAAAAGGAGAGCGCCCTTGAGAAGGAGAGATCCAGGCAAATTTCCGGCGCTTGAAAAGCCAGAGAGTCATGCTTCACGTGCGGGAATGGCAGGGTGGAACTTCTAAGGAGATGGGCATAGGAGTTGGGCGTATGCTTGTGTCTTCCCCGGGACTCTTGCTTGAGCGCTACATCAAGATCAAATAAAACATCAATTTCAATGGGACAAGCCTTGAATAGGCCATTGAGATGTACCCTAGTTTACTTAGCGCTCCCCAAAACTTGTTCTTAAAAATCGCCATTCAAGAGCAAAAGATGACATAGCGAAAGATATACCGACATTGTCACCTCCGGCGAATTTCTGCCAAGCCATCATCTTTTTACTCTAAAAAATCAAATATCAGTTGGCTGGTTTGCTTACTCTCTAGTTTCTAGGCTTAGAGCCTTATAAAGTTAATGAGATCTCGCAGAGTCAATTCAAGCTATAGTTCTTTTTCTCGACATGCCGCTTTTGAGAGACGGAATATATCGAATCTATTTTCTGAATACTTGGCCAATTAATGACTGCACATCGCGCGCGTTAACAGTTTCCACTCAGCGATCCACCCACGGAATTACTAGGAACATTTGGTACAATGCCGAATGCATTACGATACCGACAAGCTTGGTGGAGGGGTCTTATCGTATGGCACACGGTCATCCGACCATTTTCTGACCTGGAGTTGCAACCCCTGGCAACCTTCCCAACCTTCCCGAATAGGCTTGGTACAGCGTATGCAGCAAGCATTCCCACTCCAGGGTTCGGCCGCTAAGCTTCGCCAGTCGACGATAAGCTTCTTACAACAGAACCACTTCGCTGATCTCCCGGTCGATGGATGCCCAGAGCCGGTTAAGGGTGCGATGCCACCTTCTGTCCAAGGCTTCATATATTAATTGTGGCGCCTTGGCGACACTTCTCGAATGCCGGAACTGCCGAACCACACCATGGATATATTAAACCAGCGCCGGAATGCCAAAATCGATCCTAATGTGGTTGTATGTCCGTTGTTGGATAGGCTCATAAACGCCCGAAAGCTTTGTCCGTCCAAGCATTGCGCCTCCCGTTGCCAATACTCCGCTGGCACGTCATGCCCGCAAGCTTCTCCGCCATCTGAACCTTACTTTGTCTAATCGCTAAGGATGCAGGAGATCATGCAGCAGGCATCCGCGGAGCGGGACGTTTCTCGCTACTGGCAAGCAAACGAGGTACGAATACCGTCCTAAACTTGACACGGAAGGTCGGACCTGAGACGTGATCGAGTGGCGTTTTCATGGCATCTTCAGCTAACCTTCAACTGCACTCGTTACCTACAACTCGCTTGGGCAGAATAGCTCGGCGATGAAGGACAACCAAAAGTCCCCGTCAAGGCCCGGGATGTTACAGCTATGCAGTTAACTGGTTCTGGCACAGAATCTTTCCACTCGCAACAATTCAAATAAGTTCAACTAGTGACCTATCTAGTTTTCTCTATACACAAAGTCGTTCGAATAGAAGATAAGCTTTAGTGGCGCCGCCACCTTTCCAGTACGCCCCTTTCCCGTCGGTTCTTATCTTGTCTGGCAGGGCTACCATGTCACTTACGGTATCCTAATATCCAAAGCAAGCAACTCGATGAAGCTATCACGGTGCTATGCATGCTTCGAGAATTTTCTAAAGTGTTTGAATATCAACCTTCCAATTTAGAGAGGGTTTTCCCATCCTGAAAGCACGACTGATACCACAATACCGAACCACGATTGCGAGTCGACCGGGCATGATGATGAAAGAGGAAATAAAGCCCCATTGTCCATCGCAAGACCTGCAGCACGCGACTCCGCCTGGAAATACTGCATGAAAAACTACACCGGTGCAGAAGTATATAAGTCACTGAAGTTCTTCTCAAGTCGTCCAGAACACTTCCAAGCACTTCCAAGCACACACATTCTACAAAGATCCCTACTTCTGTCAATCATGAAGCTTTCTCTTTTCCTCGCTACGGCTCTTCTAGCCACCGGCTCTCTGTCTCGCCCCTCTGGCACCAAGCTCGCAGATCGCCTTAACCGCCGAGCATTGGCCCGCGGCTCCAAGCCCCTCGTCCCTGTCTTTGACGACGAAGAAAAGACCGATGTTGCCGGCAACAACACGGCCAACGTCGCCTACTCCTCCAACTGGTCCGGTGCCGTCCTCGAAAGCCCGCCATCGGGGCAGTCCTTCAAATCTGCCTACGGCACCTTCACCGTGCCCAGTGTCTCAAAGGGCACGGGCAGCCAAAGCTCGTGGTCCAGCAGCGCCTGGGTCGGCATCGACGGCGACACCTACGGCAACGCTATCCTGCAAGCCGGTGTGGACTTCACCATTAGCTCTTCCGGCACCGTCTCGTGAGTTATCCCGCTCTGAGCAGATGGAATGTCACTAACCTAGCCTGGAGGTATGACTCCTGGTACGAGTGGTACCCTGACTATGCGTACGATTTCAGCAACTTCGCTGTACATACTGGAGATGTCATCGCGATCTCCATCGTGAGCAGCAGCAGCTCCAAGGGCACGGTTACTCTTGCCAACAAGACCACGGGAAAGAGCGTCAGCAAGACGCTGAGCGCGCCGGACAGCTCGTCGACGCTGGCGGGCCAGAACGCCGAGTGGATCGTTGAGGACTTCGACGAAAACAACTCCGAAGTGCCGTTGAGCGACTTCCATACGGTCACGTTTACGGGCGCATCGGCTAAGACGGCGTCGGAGACTGTGGGCTTGAGTGGCGCAACGGTCATTGATTTGAAGCAGAACAGCAAAGTTTTGACTACGGTCACGATTGAGAGCGATTCGTCGGTGCAAATCACGTACGTGTAGGTGCTCGTGGGAGTACAGCTAGGTTATAAGTCTGGGCACACGGATATGCCACTGCTGGGTTTCACTCTTCTCACTCGATATCACCGTCAAAAGGTAGTCTAGTTCGTAGTGCATCAACATATATATTATACTTGAGCTCTATAAACATGTTAGCCGTGAATGGATGTACTCAGCCTCTCTCTTGCTACCTCGACACCACTGTAAGGAGTACCGTAGCGAGTACGTCTTCGGCCAGTCAAACGGCAGCCTTATTTCCACTGCGTGGGGTCTTGCAATGTATTTAGAGTTTCAAAACTATCAGGATACCCCATGTAGATATCGCTTAGCCTATCGATCGTAAAATGCAGTCTTGGTTGGTGGCGAATGCCGATCTGGAAGCGAGACTCATGTTCCGTGGTACTGGAAGTCGAAACTCGGAGGCGACGCGTGCAGAACGACACAACCAAGGTACGGCTAATACAGTACCTTGGTTTCGAGGCCACATCGCAGGAATAAATGTGGCATCCAAAAATTATGTCTCAACCGGCATTTCGCCTCCAATAGCAGCGATGCGTTCGTTGTAGTTGAAGTCTCGCCTACCGCGGACGAGTTGACCCACTTTCGACCCCAATCATAGTATGATTCTTTAACCAGGAATCTTGGGTTTCGGACCTTCGGGCGCGAGCAATCAGAGCACGAAGCTTGGACATTCGTAGCATTTAAAAATCTCACAGATCCCCATCTCATTTCTTCCTCACAACCCTCTATTAACACAACTCTTCCAATACCAAGCCCAACTTTTCAACCCCAAGCTTGACTCTTCCACAACCTCAACCCTTCAAAACCGAAAGCCAACTCAGCCAACATGAAGCTCATCACCATCGCCGCGCTAGTCCTCCTCACTCTGGCTACCGTCTCAACTGCTCTCCCCACTGGTCCCACTCGCCCCACTTGCATCGGAGACCTCCTCGATCCGTCCAAGCCCGCTTCCCCTCAGGCCGTCCACTCCGCCATGAGGGAAAATCGTCTACGCCCACATCTCCGACAAGCACCAAGGCGAGCCCGGCTATAGGGGTACCTGGGAAGACGACGGCAAAGGGCACCCTCGGGGGGTACACAAGTGGATTCCAGGGTAAGTGATTGCTAAATTATTTCGCTATTCCAGACACTCCTCGACATGTTTCTTTCGTTGCGCTGTACCCTCTAGCTTGCACCGCTGATATTTTGTAGTGACCCTATCCCCGAGAAACTGCCCGTGAGCTGGCCGCCTAAAGAACGCCGCCAGGAGCTACATGGGGATGTCCCTAATGTGTGGGTGTTGGATGATGGCGGGATCGTCGTTGATGATCCATTCGCAACCGAAGAGGCTATGAGCAAGCAAAAGGCACAGCACGATTAAGACATTCAGTAAACATGCTCCAGCAGCTTCGGGCGATTATAGGGCGGTCGTGATCCCTTCGTGAGAGTTTCGTTCTAAAGTTGAGGGTGGAATGGGACAATCGACTTGCCGGCTTCTGAACTTCTTAGAGGTGCACTTCTCTTTTTAGTAACATTTCCTTTTCATAAAACATTACTGGAGGTTCCTTAATGTACCTTGTAATGGGTCTCAGACACAGTATTGGCCTAGGTTTCGGTATTTTCATATGCTATCGTTAGACAATATCCTCCTCGAATGCATTTGTGATTATCTCCGTGGTGCTTCTTCGAGTTCATCCTCTTTGGTTATTCCAGAAAGAAGCGCGCTCTACAATAACCCCCCTTAACAAATATCAGAGAGCTTCTGAAACATGAGAAGTGTGTAGCAGAACTTCCGTTTCCCAAAGGGTTCGGAATACTTCAATCAAGTGACTATCACGTGACCTGTGGACTTTGGGCCTGCTTTACTGCCACCACCTACATCGAAACCCTTCTTAATGTGTCGCATAGTCTCGATTCTTTCTAGAACCACACCAACTCCTCCTCACCCTCTCACCCCCTCCCTTTATCCAGCTCTTTCATCCTCTCAGACGCCTCCCTCGCCATCTCCCTCGTCTCCGCCGCCACATCCCCCCTCTCCCCAACCTGCCCAAACACCCCACCCCCTTCCACCTGCCCTACGTCTCTCCACCCGCCCACCCTCCTCTGCGAAAACACCCCGCCCGCCAAAATCATCTACACTGCCGTCTCCGGCACCTCACAGTCCAAATGCCGCTCCTCCCC